TTTTTCGAACATTAAACATTTTCGCAATCTTTTAGAAGGACGACAATTTACAGTTTTTACAGATAACAAGCCTTTGATATTTGCTTTGAGTTCAAAAACCGAACGTAGTCCGAGACAAACTAGACATATGGAATTCATTGCACAATTTACTAATGACATACGATATATTAAAGGACAGGAAAACATTATAGCTGACATATTATCTCGATCTTTCGAAGTTGATGCAATTAAAAGTACAGAACTGAATTTCAAAGTTTTACAAAATGAACAAGAATAGGACGAGGAACTAAACACATTAAAATCTGGAGACACATCACATAACCTTAAATAAATTCAAATTCCACTTTTAAATTTTAATACTTGGTGAGAATCCTAGGCCATTTGTTCCAAATTGTTTACGCAAGACACAAAAGCTACACGTCGTCTAATTATTATTTAATTATTAATTAGTACTATTGGCCAAAAACGCACACAGAAATTAACATTTGGTCAAAAGAATGTATAAATTGTCAAAAATCGAAAGTTAATCGTCATACTAAATCTCCAGTAATTAAAATTCCGATTCCCAAAAGTAGATTTGAGCATATTCATTTAGATATTGTTGGACCTCTTCCTGTATCAAAAGGACATCGTTACATTTTTACAATAGTTGACAGGTTCACGCGTTGGCCCGAGGCATACGCATTAAAGGACATTTCAGCGGCAGTGGTTGCAAATAAATTTTTTAGAGTACATGTTTCACGTTTTGGGGTACCGTTAAAAATCACTACAGATCAGGGTACTCAGTTTATGTCAAAATTGTTTTCAGAATTAACAAACTTGCTTGGTAGTCATCGCGTTGCGACTGCTACATATCATCCTCAAGGGAATGGTATGGTAGAACGGTTTCACAAGCAGTTAAAAGCTACGATAATGGCTAGAAATGGAACCAACAATTGGTATGATGAGCTGCCGATGATACTTCTGGGTTTACGATCGATGTATAAAGAAAGTATTTCAGCCACACCATCTGAGATGGTTTTTGGGCAAAATTTACGCCTACCCGGTGAACTTGTGGTTCCATCTGAAGAACCCAACTGAAGTTTTAGGCAATTTTCGGGAACATTTTATAAATGTTAAGTCAAATTTAAAGTATAATCAAAATTCTGATACTGGTGTATATATACCAAAGGATTTGGAGACTTGTAACGAGGGAACGAAAAATGACACTGAAAATGGCACAATGCCGAAACCGGTTTGTCTGAAAACCAAACTTGACAAGGGATGACGGAAATTCGTTCCAAAATAAATCACTTGTAAATTTGTTTTTATGCGTGTTATTAATAAAAGATCATTGCAGCAACCATACAAGGGACCTTAAAAGGTTGTTGAAAAAAACAAAAAGTATTTCAAACTTGAAGTAAATAATGAGGTTAAAACAATTCCGATAGACAGACTAAAACCAGCGATCATTGAAACAGAACTAATACCAGAAACAAACACTAATATAATGAATAACACAACATCAAATAGGAAACGAGTTACTTTTAATTTATATAACATTAATTCTCTAGAAGGGGGAGTATCTTAGGGTTTGTATTTGTGTTATTGTCTTTTGTACTGTGTTAATTTCAACTTTGTAATTTTAAAAATTTTATACTTAAGTGATTTTTGTAGTTCAAACATCAAATAGAAAATTATTATTATTAATTTTTTTCTCGAATTGCTAACAGCATAAAAATAAATTAAGTTTTGTTAACTTTTAATAAAAATATTTTTAAAAAAATATCTTTGGAATCAACTACAGATTCCTTGAAGCTTATGGGGAGCTACCTATCTGAAAGATCCCAGTGTGTACGAACCGGTACAAATATCTCTAAACTTGAGCCGGTTTCCTCGGGGGTTCCTGAAGGTTCAGTCCTTGGTCCTCTTCTATTTAGTTTGTTCATAAACGATGTTTTTCTTACATGTAAATTTGCAAATATTCATGCCTATGCGGTTGATATTCATATATATCTATCTAATAACTTTTGAAATATTGATGTATTAGTAAGCCAACTTAATTGTGACCTGGCTGCCATTGAGCAATGGTCTAAGGATAATGATCTTCTCCTGAACTCTAGTAAGTCATATGTATTACCAATTGCAAAGAAGAAGCTTAATGCTACTGCCATACCTCATTTAGTTATTGGTAATAAACCATTACAATTTGTAAGTAAAATCACTAATTTGGGTTTTATAATTAACGCGTCTTTAGCTGAGATCACACGATTGCCGCAAATGCATCAATCTGGAACAATTTTTATTGTGCTGTATTGGAGAACAATAAAAAAATTGTCCGGATCAAATTCTGTACAGTCACACGGTTGCCTCTTTTTATACAATTTTGATTGCTGCATGTTGTCGAAAAGCAATATAGTGAAAATAATTGCCCCACACTTATCACACGATTGTTCTAGCATGCAGCAATTGTGACAATAAGATGTTGCGCTGACTTCTAAATTCTGTTTGGTTCTTTATTGTGTAAAAATGGCGTATTCTTTAAAAAAAAATAAAGAAAATTGCAACTGGTTTGTATATTGTGGGCTTATTTTATGCACATTTGTTGTTGTTTGAAAGCAAAGAAGCAAAAACTTGAGTCCAATGAAACCTGACGCATTTATTTAGAAGTTTGTGTGTAAATTTTTTTAGTTTTCGACGATAACTGCAACGTGCTATGTGGAGTTCAAGTTGCGATAGTTTTCTTTTTAATTTCGGTTTTTTATTAATTACAAATAAAATTGGTACAAAATAATTATGTATGTTTAAATGAAAGCTGTGAGTTTATATAATTTATGTTTGGAATGAAATTTTATAATTATATGTACAGCTCGCAACAAAAGATAGCACTTGAACATTTTAATCAGTCTTGACTTTTTGCTTTTGTTTGTTTAATGTTAACTTTTTCTATAAATCCATAGCTCGTTGTTTAGTAAAAACCACATAAATAAAAATGTCAAACTTTATACAACAATTATAAACATTTCTTAAACTTTTGATCACAATTCAATGGTTTTTAATTTGGATTTCTAGAAAAAAAATTGTTATGTAGTTTACAAAGTAATTTGCATAGAAGAAAGTGCATAATACCGCCAGCTAAAAAAATTATAAAAATCGACAGGATTTTTTAGCAATTTCAAACTTGCACCTTATTGTACTAAATTTTAATGAGCTATATAATTGAATAACATTTTTTTTCTAGAAATTGAAATTAAAAACCGTGCACTTGTGTTCGAAAGTTTAAGAAATTTTTATAATTTTTGTATAAAGCTTGCATTTTATGCGGTTTTTGTTAGACAATGAGCTATACTTTTAAGAAAAAATAATGAACACTAAACAAATAGAAGAAAAATAGTCAAAACTGGTCAAAATGTTGAGATTCTACCGTTTCGTCGTGGGCTGTATTGAACTTTTAAGTTTTTTTTTTAAATAAATTTATACTGTCATGGCAGTCCGCCATTTGGTGACATAAAATATCTTTCGTATTCTTCTCGTATGAGTTTTGCTTGTGGTGGTATATATCGCAGCAAAGATTCCGTCCTCGGACTTCAAGAAAAATTAAAATTAAAAGTTATCTTGCTTCCGAAATTAAAAGATATCTTGCTTCCGAAAACAAGGATATTCATTTCGGTGTTTTTGGACACATAAGGAAGCAAAAAAGTAGATTATTAATAAACAGCCTAAATATTGTTGTGTATTGTTCACTTCAATTGCCGCACAAGAACACAATAAAAAAGCCGCAATTTTGAAATTTTCATTGCCTCATGATTGCCAATCGAGCTATCACACGATTTCCGCAAGTGGGTTGTATTTGATTGGGCATTGTAAGCACAATATCGGCCTCTATTGCCGCATGAGTCAATTTATTGTAACAATCGTGGGATCTCAGCTTTTGACCTGCACTGATCATATAAATGCAGTAGTTAGTGAAGTTTATGGTACTCTCAGAAATCTACACCAAAGTGAAATATTTACGCCCATTACTACTAGGCGTAGGCTTGCACTTCAATTGATAATACCATTAATGACCTATTCTGAGCTGGATTACAATAAATTAGACTATTTTTCAGCTCATAAGTTATCTGTACTATCTAATCATGTCACTCGGTACGTTTACGGCCTAAGAAAGTTTGACCACATTTCGAAGTGGAGAAGAAGTTTGCTGGGATGTGGAATACATGATTACCAAACGGCCCGGAGCTGTATATTTCTTTACCGGCTAATCACTACAAAGTCGCCTTCTTATCTTTATGACAAGCTGATATTCCCAAAATCTGAGCGCACCAGAGATCTTATTGTACCCGATTTCAATTTCGCAACATCGACTAGACTGTTTTTCATAAATACTATCAGAAGTTGGAACTCCATTCCGACTGCACTAAGAGGCAAGTTAAATAAAAGCAACTATAAAACTCTCATATATTTACACTTCTCTAATAACCCAAGCAGGCCATCAGAATTTAAATTAGTATAGTTTAGAATTAAGAATTATTCATTATTTATTATTTACTTATTTATTTATTTATTTTGTTTTGTCCTGTGTAATATTTAATGCATTCTATGTCCTCTTCATGCGTACCAAATTTTGTTGTACTAAAAAAGAACACAATTCTTATTGTACTAATGTAACTCTTTGTTGATAAATAAATTCAAATAAATAAATTCAAATATCGTTCCAGCCTGATTGTCACCATATCCTCATTGCTGAAATTATGCAAAATAAAAGAGTTTAGTTCACCTCTGATAAGCATGTAGGCCCTAGTTTGACCAAAATTTTTTGCTGCTATCAGCTTTTAGCTCCGTGTTCTGATTCCAGAGATACCGTTACTGCTCAGCCACGTCTCCTGTA